GGGAAATGCATGCGTGTCGTCGACAAGGCCGCAGTGGACGTTCGTGATGGCGAGTAGTCAAAATCCATGTCGCTCGCATCCGCGCCAGGCGGGCACGCAGAGAGATACCGTATCTTACGCAACCTCTTGCGTCAAAGCTGGGGGGCGCTTCATTTCCCGCCCGCATGATGTCGTATGTGTGCTCTCTCTCATCTGCACATGCCCATCCTCGATGGACGGCAGGGTGCAGCCAGCCTTCTATGTGTGCATACTGTGTCGGTATGTAGGTGGTCCCCTGTGTACCCGGGCCCCCCTTCACCACCGCCGGGGATCCCTCTCGGCCTGTGCGGCGTAGGCAGCCCATCACACAAGAAGGAGCAGAAAAAGAAGAAGAAAAAACAGCAGGGGAGAGAAAGAGAGGCCGGCCAGCTCGCCGGGCCGGCGGTAAGGGATCCCCATGCATGCGCTTTACAGCCTGGGCAGGTAAAGGTGTGCACCTCGTCTATCTAGATACAGAGCAGAGTGGGCTTTGCTGGTGGCCCAGCCCACCTGCCGCGTCCAGGTACCATACGACAGTAAGCGCTCAGTCGGCCCTCTTCGATCTTGGTTCTGGGGAGAGGAGGGGGTGGAAGAGGGAAGACATGCGCAAAAGAGGGGTCTGGGGAGGATGAGAAAAGGGCCGCGATGTGGGCAAGCGGCTGCTGAGCCAAGGCGATGGATGAGGGCCCGACGAGCCGCGGAGGATCCATGGCTGTTATTGATTTTTCCCCCTTCGCATTCGTCTTCTGTCGTACAAGCGCTCGAGCTGTCCAAAGGCACGCCGGTGCATTCCATATTGGTCGATATTTTGTTTATAGCGCCACTCTATCAGGGTGTGCCAAGCCACCTCACAGCTAGACGGCCCAATTGGCATGAACGCACATTCGCCCCGAAAAAAAAAATCACATCACATCATCCCAGCTTTTGGTTTCTTTCTTTTCTTGTCAATAGCCCCCTTGCCGTGGCGGTAATCTGCGAGCCATGATCGCCTTGACAGTGGTGATGTGCACGAGGGTGTAAAAAAAGAAAAATCGTCCAATGTCGAGGAAATACGAACATTGACGACCAGAGCCAGAGCTGAATCTTTGGCGTGCATGGCTACCGTAGACTCGCCCCGAGTGGTGGGCAGGCATGCTGCTTGCTTTTCGGGCTGTCAGGTGTCGCGTCTCTTTGCTTTTCCTTCCTTTATTTTCTGACGATTTGACGGAGCATGAACTGGGAGATTACAACACCCAAATAAATTCATGTTCCAACCGGGCATTTCCCACCTCGGCTCTCTCACCCTCCCCCCGCTTACAGGTCCAGACCTTGTTTTTGCTGTGCCGTGAGTGAATACCCGCAAAGAATGGGCCAGGATGACGCGCGCTGCCTTGGAGGAGGCCGGCTCGGCGGACAAGACACGAATGTGGGAACCCGTATTGTTGTCTTTTTTTTTCTCTCACTTTTCCCCGCGCAGCGTGAACATGACGAAACGGGGCCGGTGCTTCGGAAGGCCGAGTTGCCCGTACCCAGCACCGGAACCAAACACTTCGGCCCTGCGGGATAAACACCTACACCCCTTCCCCGACTGGTCTGCCTTGCATTAGTTGGTACTGTATAAGCACCATTTCTGGGTATACACTCATACGCATATAGCCCAAAAGCAGACAGTCGGACCGCGGCGTAGGACGCGGGGGCGGCTCGGCCTCGCCAGGCTGGCACGAGATTAAATGCCAATTTCTCACACGCGACAGAGAGGACATCACGTAGCATCGAGCCAGCAGCAGCCCAGTATTGGTGGGCGAACGGGTTGGTATGGTTGGCTGGGGTAATGGCGACCGGCCCCACGAATATCCGTATACCTAACCTCTCGACCTGCACGTTCTGCTGCCAATGAGGGAGCTACCTTGGGCTGTGGCATCACACCCGGCACTGTACATACGTATGCGTGTGTATGTATGTGCCTCTGCGGTGCGAGAAGGAGGGATGGAAGCGCATCCGGCAAACCAGAGCGCCTCGTCGCCCACCAGTCGGCCAGAGGGGTTGCAGCGCAGCGTTGGAGAGCTGGACGGCTGCAGGCGAGGACGGCGCAGAGCTGTCAAAGATGGGATGTGACTGGCTGCTTGGCGGGTGCTGGTGCTACGACCAGGCCAGTTACCACCCTCCCAATGGTTCCCCGGTGGTTCCCCGGCCTGTAGAACTCAATTTTGGCTTTTCGACTTTCTCTCGCGACGGTACCAAACCAAACATTCAAGCCTTGACGGGCTGCTTGCGGGCCTGGGCGGCCGTTTTTGGCGGCCGCACGCACGCAATTCCAACACGACTGTGCTCTGCAACTCCGTGTAGGAGCGCCTGGGGCAATAACCCGGAAATCTGGTTCTGGCAATTTGCCCTACGAGTCTGTCTGCCCATCTCCATTCCGCTTTTGCGTGGAGCGACATTGCAATATCGAACCGTTGGTCCATGGCGAGCACCCAAAAATATCAGGCAGGAACCAGGCAGGAGCCAACAAACGACGTGATTGATGGATTTCAACATTTGCTCCATCCATGTATTTCTGACAGCCACCCCCACCAACCACACCTGCCGCATTCATGGCAGCTGCCAACCTGGCAGTGCGATAGACAGTAACGAATGTGCGGATATTACATTGACGTGCGGACAGAGAGTTGCCCCCAGGAAGAGAACGGGTGGCCGGGTAGGTTACCCTCCACGGCTGTCATCCTGGCCCAGCATATTCAGCCATTTGAGCCGGGAAGCTCGTCGACTCTAGAACTGCGGATATTCAACCGTCGAGGAGGGGTGGGGAGGGAGCGAGCTGCGTGAGGCCTAACCAGATACGCTACTGCTGCTGGCGCTGTTGGTGCAAGCAAGCAAGCAAACAAGTCACAGGCAAGCTGCACTGGCTGTCCGCTGTCCCTCCACAAGCCTTCCAGACTGTTTCTTTCCCCTCATTTTTTCCCCCACTGGGCTAGTTGGGGACAGCGTGGAGAGAAAAAGAGACAGAGAGAGGGCTGGGGTTTCGAACCCTCGCCTCGCAAACTGCATCCAAGCGAGGCCGGTCTGCGTGTGCTGGGTTGCATATCGTGCTTGCGAGCACCACGGCACCCCTCCGCACAAGGAGGTACTGCCAGTGCAGCAAACCTGCCCTGGGCCGGTCCCACTTGCCCTGCCTTCTCTCTTTGTGCGCGAGGCCGGCGGGCTGGGCTGGAGAGAGGCTGCCCAGGTAGGCATCCCAAGACCCCTGGGCACAGAATGGGAGTGGAGTATCACGGCCGCCCTTCCTCTCCCATCCATGTTCTTGTTCCTCGCTCCTTTCACACACACCCCCGTCCGCCGACGGCTGGGGAGCGAGAGACCCAGAAAAAAAAAAGACCGATCCACTTTCTCGCTCTTGCAGGCCGTCTCCCCTACCCCTGTCCAACCCAGCAGCCACCCTGGCACTGACTGACTGGGCCCCCCATGTCACCATTTGGAAGGCTACCCCGGCTCCCCTGTGCCTTAGGGCCCTCCCTGGCTAGGTAGCCTGCGTCCCATGTCCCTTGCCGTGGGAGCGCTCTCCGTTCAGGGAGGCGCGCGCAACACGCAGCGCTGTCCCCGGTGGCCGGCACTCAGATTATACATAATAGCATTGAGGCCCAGGTCTATCTCGTCCCCCACAGGTTTGCCCCCCCCCCTTCTTCCACATCTTCACGCTTTGCTTTGAAATCTTGGTTCTACAGGAGCATAAAGGGGAATCAGACACGCGAGCTCGCCTTGCTTGGATCCATTACGAAGAGACCTGTGATATCGGGAACAGAGAACGACGCAGCGGCAGACCACAGACACGTGCTGCTGCGGTTTAGAAAGAGATTCTTCTGGGTTACAACGACGCTCGGGGAACCGCAACAACAACAACAACAATAGGAGTAGCAGCAACAAGAACAACAAGAACAACAACACCCACTATCAGACTGGATAACATATAGGAACCAAAACCTAAAGACCAATACCGCAACGGCGGATCCCCCAGCCGCAACGCCACGACTCGACGGGTCGGTACTACGACGCCAGAGCGCACTGCTGAGTGTGCTAGTCCGTGTTGACTGCTCACCTGCCCGTGTGGGAATCTGGCCAGCTCCCCCCGGTGCTGCACGCGACGCTGGTCCGGGACCTGTCAGCCACTGAGACTGCCGGGGACATCCGCTTCGTGGTTCCGTCTCTACCGCGCGACCTTGGAACGAAATTTCGGTGCCCCGTCCTGGTGCCCACTACCAGGCTGGGATTATAGCGGCCACCACGCAAGGGGAAGGAAGAGAAAAAAATCAAAAAGAAAACGCACAACAGCGGATTCGGGGGCACGGTCCGGGCTGTCAATGCCATCCATCATGTGGGCCAGCTCTGCACTGCCCATCCTGTCGGGCGACCGCATAGGACGCCGAAACAAAAACAGCTCAGTGCCCTCCCCTCCCAGCCCTCCCGTCCTGGCCCAGCTGCACAGCCAGACTATCACGGACCTGCTCGAGCCCGCCATCGACGGCCCGCCGTCCCCAGAGAGCATTCGTGCCTTCAGCCAGCAGATGAGGCAGTCGTCGGTCCACGACAAGCACCAGTCCCGCCACACGTCGTCGGGCTCGTCATCGCTGCTCTCCCTCGTCTCGTCGGGCCGCGCCTCATGGGAGCACCAGCTCGAAGGGCCACCCGCCTTGTCTCGCCGGTCCTCGGGCCGCTCCACCAACAGCATCATGCAGGCCCCAGCACAGCGGGAGCGCGCTGACAGTGTCCAGCAGCTGTTCAGCAAGAACATCTTCAACCGCAAGAGCCGCCTCCGGAGGGACAGCAGCGCCCAGAGCTCCGCCTCGAGCTCCGTCTACTCCTCCGACATTCCCACCTCCGACCCCAAATCCTGTCTCTTCAGCCGGAGGAGGACCCAGAGGCCCGGGTCGCTGGCCACCGACTCCGGCCGCCCGCAGATCTCGGGCCCCTACAACTTCCAGCACGTCACCCACACCGACAAGGAGCGCCTCAGCAGCCTGCAGAGGTCCAGCAGCGCCATCCTGCGGACGGAGCTGTCCACCATCCGCACCTCGCAGGTGCCGTCCTGCGGCGCCCTCAAGGGCATCCAGGCTGAGAGCCTGCGCTTCCCCGACTTCGGCTCGTCCGAGAACCTGTCCACCCTGGACGAGGACTCCACCATGACCATGGACGACGTCTCGCCAAGGACCAGTCTCTCTCGCAGCTCCCAGACCCCCTCGCCGCCGCGGAGATCACAGATGAGGTGGAACCGCTCGCAGGAGCAGATCAGTGGGGGACAGTCGTCGCCGCCGATACCGCCTTCGCGCGTGTCGAGCAGGCTGTCGATGAGGAGCGACGGTATCGACGGCATCGTCGACAGGCCCCAGACCAGCGCCGGCATCCCCGAGAGGCTGGTCGAGAGCATAGAGGAGCACGAGGAGGAGGAGGAGGAGGATGACGACGATGAGGACGAGGGCCTGCAGATGCGCCGGTCCGGCTTCCGCGAGAGCTATGTGCTGCCAACCGAGTACAGGTTCTCGCGTATCCTGTCGGTGGGCACCGTCGCGCCCGAGGACGTCAACTGGCCGCTCATCTCTCCCACAAACACGTCGTTCGACACCAGCCTGGCCGACGTGCCCGAGGAGGAGGAGCACGCCGCCCTCACCCAGGCCCGGTCGAGGCTCAGCATCATTAGCACCCACTCGTCGCTGAGGGGCAGCAACTCGGTGCCGCACCTGAGGCATCTTAGTCTGCGCCAGGGCTCCGCCGCCCCTGCCCCTGCCTCGCGCGCACGCGCGCCGAGTAACGCCTCGGAGACGCTGGGCCGCTGCGACTTTGTCAGCACGCAGCCCGCGCCGGGCGATGTGCCCGAGGGCGGCGATGCGGCCGAGTTCCTGTCGCGCGAGAGCTGGGAGGACGACATCGACTACTGCTACGAGCACGAGGTCGAGGCCGACTGCGACTACCGCTGGGAGCGTCCCTCGCTCGACCTCTCGCGTGAGGACGAGACGGCGACCCCCGTCTACTACGCCGTCGACGGCGACGACGACGACATCGCCCCTTCCTCCCCCATGGGCAGCCTGCACCCGGGTCACCACCACTGGGACGTGCCGGCCCTCAGCCCCTGCGTGTCCATCAACGCCGCGTCCGAGGCCTTCACGCCCGTGTCGGCCGTCGCGCCCGCGGCCAACTTCTCCCTCCGGCAGCCGCTGCGCGTCCGCACCGGCTCGACGGCCACCTTCAAGGAGTCGCAGGGCTTCAACCTGTCGCCCTCGCTCCTCATCCCGGGCTCCGACTACCACCACCAGATGCACATGATGCTCGACGACGACCGCCAGTGGTACCAGCAGGAGGACGACTCGGTCGTCACCTACATCCCCTACCAGGAGCCCGTCCTCAGCATGGACCGCTCCGCCCTGCTGATCCAGTCGCGCACCAGCGCCTCCACCGTCGCCAGCACCAGCACCGCCGACTCGGCCGACCTGCTGCAGCGCCGCCACGACTCGACCGCCTCGTCGTCGGCCGCGTCCTCCACCGCCCTCACCGACCTGACGCGCAGCACCAGCACCAGCTCCGTCAACGTCCAGGGCCTGCTGGCCGGCGAGTCGGCCGCGTCCATCGAGGAGCGCCGCAACTTTAGCCACGTCCTGCCGGCCTCGCCGCGCAAGACAAAGGACGACGCCGCCGCCGCCACCCCGAAGCCTTCCAAGCTGCAAAAGGAGCCCGCATCCCCCGCGCCCAACATGCCCGCACCATCGCCGCCGCCCATGCTGCGCCGCCGTCGCGCCAAGACGGCAGGCTCCGAGGCCAGGCCTGCGCGGGTCAGGCCGACAACCGCGCCCTTCATCGCGTTCCCGGCCTACAACCTTGCCCTCTCGCGCATCTAACCATCCCTACCGTCATGATGGCGGAGGGGGGGTGGTCCCTACTTCTTCTCTTTTCTCAAAGGGTCTGTGTGGACTCGGGTGAGCTACGATGGCATTTCCCATCCTGGCCGCCGATCCCCATCCCTTTTCTTGTCATCATATCTTTGGGACCATCACGATCTCCTTATCGGCAACATACCACAGTCACTTCTCCTTATATTGTCACATCATCATCGTCTCTTGCTTTGGGACCACAAACAATCTCGCCTTTTCCGGCGGATATCATATAGGCATCTCGGACAATTTTCTTAATGGCGGGACCGGAAGATAAACCTCTTGGATAAGAGGCAAACAAAAGATTGGGAACACCACCATCGGAGGACAAGCAACAATAACCTCCACATCTCCTTATTATATCGTCACCACCCTCAGCCGACCCGCGGGCAGCATTCTCCTTTGTCTCGTGCTCCTCATCTCACCTTCTTTTCCGAGATGCAGAGTGTATCACACTTTTTTACTTACGGGTTTGGGTTTTTCTTCCTGTCTATGGATGGCGGATAAAGGAGGGGTGGACGAGTGACTACGACTGGTTACGATTTGACTCAAACAACTTGCCAAACAAGCAAAACAAAAAGAAAGACAATGTACTGGCCCCGAGGCCGATTATATGTACATGTACAAACAAAACATGTTCTGGAAGGAGCTGGTTCTCGGTCTGGCCCAGGATGATATCTGGGTGGAAGAGACCTGATAGCTATACCGCTGCTCACCGAGCAATATTAAACAAATAACAATGAAGCCGCCGTCCGATTTGCCCTGATCGTGTGACACCCTGAAGTTGAGTTGGGGAGGGGCTGCCTTGCCCCCCGTCCTCGCAGATAGCGCATCGTCCCCGCGAGAAACGACCGCTCTTCTGCCAGATGGCTGCGCAAACAAGGCGCTCAAGGACCCTGGAGCACGGCATCACAGACCAGGCATGAGGTAAACTGTATCGAGTTCTGCTGGGGCTGCCGCCTACCTAGCTTGCACAAGCAGCCTCCCGGCGCGTGTGTGAGCGCAGGTCACCCGACGACGAACGCTCCGGGGTTCCTAGTATGGTCGGCGGCTAACCGGCAAGGCAGAGAAAGAGCCACCTCCCCCTCCCCGTGAAGCATCCAGCCATCCTGACATGTGCGACCCGCCTATGCAGACACCCTGTGCAGACGCCGTGGCTCACGCCATCTCCCCATAGTTCATCGTCCATCGAACAGACCGTCGTCCATCGGGGCTCCATCACGCCACTGGCGTCGATCTGGCCACCACTCTGGCTTCTGGCTTTGTGAGATACAACAGCCTCATTGTCCTGCCTTGCTCGTCAGCGACGATTCCAGCACATGGCCAGCCCCACCGTCGACTCCCATCCCCCCCCGCGCTCTTTCGAGTGTCCTCCCCGTCGGGTGGCCCTTCCTCAGCATGACGATGGTCGTGGCAATCTTGGCCGTAGCCTCAAGAGCTGTGACGAACGAGGAAGGAAGATGGGCGAGGGGGCCCGCGAAGCCGCCCACGCCGGCGGACTCGTCCTGGGGTCTGGCCGGTGGGCGGCCGCCGCCCCGGCGTAGAGGTGGCGCTGAGAGCAAGTCCATGATTGATCTCCTGGTTTTGAATGTGCAGGGTAGATCGGGTTTCGCTTTTTGCACTCATGAAATTTCGGGCGCCGAAAAGTGCAGGGTTGGCCGAACGCATTTTTGATGCCTGCTCAGCAACCCGCGCGCTACTCCTCACGCCTGTCCGGCGGCGGCCTGGGAGGTCTCGTGGCGGGAACGACGGCGGCAGGAGAGCGCTTAAGGCTTGCTTGCCTCCTGGGGGCTCTTGGGAAGGCGAGGGGGGATCGGCAGGATGCTGTCGTCGCTGACCCACCGGTTTTGGCGGTGCCATCAAAGCAGCTTGGGCAAGACGTTGGCGGCGGAGCTGCTGTTGTCCGACCGTGAACTGGAGGCAGCCGACTCCAGGGTGCTTTTCAACAGCCATTCAAGCCTTGCAGCGCTGACGGTCCAGCGTGAGTCCAAGGTGGTGCGATGAGCTGCGCAGTCGGGGCTCCAGAAAGGAGAAGCAACGGCAGATGCAGAAGCGTGAAGCCGTTCCTGAGATCCCCGCGGCGTTGTAAACGAGTTCGCCGGCTATGCGCGGTTCTTGGCTAAACGTCAAGGGAAGTATATCTCCGGCCCCCACGAGCCTCATGCTTTGGCAAGAGGAGCGGGGCTGAGATATCGTTTTCTTCCAGCATGTTCGTGCGATGCTCGTGTTGAATTGCCTATTGCTATGCTGAGCTGGCACCGGAACCTTGAACAGTAGCCCTGGTGAGAGTTGGGCGATGACTATGTGCCCAAGGGATGTTAGCAAGTTGAGAATATGTTCAGGGGTGGGGGCATGGTTGGGAATTAAGTCAGTAAGTCAAGTCACTACCGTGACTTTGACTTACTAAAAAAGTCACGGCGGTGACTTTAACTTATTTTGACTGCCTAATGACTTACTTAAGTGACTAAATTAGTCAATTTAAGTCATTGCTTTTTTATTACTTTTTTTATTACTTTTTTTAATTATTAATTTTATTGTTATTTGTCAGGGGTCAATCGGTGCAGAGGCGGGTGGTCACCGGGTCACGGGCCGGATGCGGTGTCTCCTTTGTCAGGCCTCCGTAAATCTCCTACCAAAGGTGCTATCGCCAACAAAGATTGTTCCTTCTCTGACCTCCCCCTCCCTCGTCCCCTTCGGGCACCCGGGGTCGGTCCTTTAAGTCCTCCGCGCTCCAGGCGCCTTCGTGCAATTTAAGCTTTACCCTATCTTTTAGCTTCGCCATTA